AATGTAGTGTTGATGGTGGGCCAAATGAAATGGCTTGGCAGGCCAAATTTGGCCCGCGGGCCCCACTTTGGGCACCTCTGATGTAAATACAATAAAAATTAAACCAAGCTTTATAATAATTATCATTTTGATCCATACATTAGTAATGTCTGACTGGGCCTCGTGTCACTTTATGTTCAACAAACTGGGCCCTGAGGTCAAAAAGGTTAAGAACCCCTGGTTTATGACATTTATAAATGTATGAATCATTTGGTGAAAAACTGACTTTAAAAAAATCTGTTCTTTTTTTCTTATAAAAGGCTAAATAAAACTAAATTACTGGTTGTAATTTTTGACTGTGTAACTTTACAAACGGCACCTCTTCAACAACAGTTCTTACATTTCAAATGTGGGCTGCACAAAGTTGCTGTGAGGGCTGCAGATGGCCCCCGGTGCTGCACTTTAGAAGCCTTTACCTCTGAGCTGAGCTACAGAAGCATCAGTGTTTAGTCTGACTTCAATAAAACTAAAGCTTTAATGTAAATTCAGTCCCTAGAGTTGTGTCAAACTAAAAGTTGAATTATTCACAGGTTTGGTTGTGGTTCTGCTTCAGAACCAGCTGGTTTGGACCTTGTGTTTGTGCTCACTGACCCAAACAGAACCAAAAGATATCATCAGAAACTCTGTGCCACTTCTTTAAGCAGATTATTGTTCTTTATATCCCTGTTGTAATGTGCCACACTGCAGAACAGAGAGCTGCCGTTTTTCAGCACAAGGATTAGATCAGATTAGGATTAGGACTGGTTATTGTCAGTGTTAATCTGTTCATTCAGCTCAGAGATAATGAAGCTCTGTTTTCTTTTTATCTGACATGAAACCTTTTGATCAGTGATGAACGACAGCCTGTTGTCTTCATCAAAGTGAAGCTGTCACTTTGTTGCCAGCAGATCCTGACGATCACTTTAATCCAGAGCCTGTTTGTCTTCAGAGTCAACATCACTTCACCTCTCCTCGTGTTCCCTCAAACTGTTTTACACATCCTGTCAGACAGAGCTGCACGTTTCTTTTCTTTTGTTTCTTGTTTATATTACATTTCAAGACTGAATATTTTCATTTTTCTGACATAAATTATTATTTTACAATCCAGTATATCAGTATGTGAAGTTACACATGCTAAACAACCATCACGCTTTGTTGGTTCTTCTTTCAGCTGACACACACACACACACACACACACACACACACACACACACACACACACACACACACACACACAC